ACCCTTCAAATTCCTAAGCACAATCAGTGAGGCGTGCCGTCTCGCCTGTTCGCTTGTGATGCGCATTGAAGGTCTCAAGATGGCCCGACGATGGCCCACGAGAGGCCCAAGACGGACACAAGAGGCCTCCAGGACGGCCCCATCAGCGCCACAAAGGGCCTCCACGACGCGATGTTGAGGGCCCTGGAGGGGGGGGGGGGGGCTAGATCGGGGACTCCCCTCTTGACCGGAGGCTTCGAACATATCCCAGGAGGCCCTCTGGGGCTCCAAAGAGGGCCAGCCCAAGAGAGCCCAAACAGGGCCCACAGAGAGCCCCGAGAGCCTCCCAAAAGAGCCCCAAAGGGCCGAAAGACCAAAGAGGGCCCCAAACGAGCCGAGGGGGAGCCTCCAGGAGACTCCGAGATGGCAGCCAGAGCCCTTGCCCTCCTCTGCCCCCTTCTCCGCATTGTCTTCGTCCACGTCCTCCTCGTCCTCCACGTCGCCCTCCCCCATCGTCATCTGTCTCGTCCTAATCGTCCTCGTCCCCCTCGTCCTCCTCCTCGTCAGTCCTCCTCCTCCTCCTCCTCCTCCTCGTTATCGTCCTCGTCGTCCTCGTGCCCCTTCTCCTCATCCTCATCCTCATCCTCGTACTAATTAATGTCCTCATGGCTCCATCGTGGACGAACAGTAAATCCACCCACTACTCGGAATGGAACACACGCCTGTAACTTAATGTCATCAGTAAATTGTTTGAGTACGTCTTACGCTAACGAAGTGGATTATGGATTCTGGGGAATGGCTACGAGTGTAAACCACGTTCTGGATCCATTCACTCTTCAAGAACTGATGGGTCCTCGTCCCCGTTCTCCTCCTCCTTCTCCTTCTCCTCGTCCTCTTCCTCACCCTTGCCCGCATCGTCTTCCTCTCCCTCGTCCTCCACGACCTCCCCCACCGTGGGGAGATGGCGCCTGGCGCATCGCCTTGGCCCGCCATTTGAGGGAAGATCGTTTCCCCCTCGACTTGTCCCATCCTCCTCCTCTTCCTCCTCCTCTTCCTCCTCCTCCTTCCCTCGCCCCCGGGCGGGCCGCAGGGATGGCCCGAAGACGTCCCACAAAATCAACCCATTCAGAAATCTCTCTGTTCACCCTGGTTGCCCGCGATGTTTCACTATATGTGTCTCTTCGCCCCATTTCCCGTCACCTCTCATGGGCAAAATCCCACCAGCCCTCTGGGCGTCGGTGGTTTAGACAGTTTCCGCTTCCACCCCTCCTTCTTCCCCTTCGGGGAGGGGTTTACCCCTCCCCCTACCCCCTCCCCGTGGACCTGGACAAGGGGTTTCGCGAGTCGTCGGAGCGTCCAAAACGGCCTCGGCGAGGACACCAAAATCATTGGTTGTAGTAAGGTTTTGGCCCCATTTTGGCCTCCCGAGGGGGGGACGCTAATTGGGCATCCCCCCTCCTGTGATCGATCTCACCCAAGATGGCCCAAAGATGGCCCCCCAGGCTCCCAAGGGTGCCCCAAGAGGTGGCCAGGACGCCCCAAGAGGCCCCCAGGATGCCCCCAAGAGGCTCCCCCAAGAGGCCCCAAGAGACCCCCCAGAGGCACCCAAGATGCTCCGAGAGGCCTCGGCGAGAATGCCAAATCATCGATTTTACAAAAAGGTTTTAGCTACAGATTGACCTCTTGGGGGGGGGGGGCACTGATTAAGATGACTCCAAGAGCGCCTGGGAGAGCCCAAGATGACCTCCAAGAGACCTCCAAGATGGCTCCAGATATCCCAAGATGTCTCATAATGGCTTCCTCTGTGTGCTGCCCACTTCCCTGATCGAGGCAATTCCTCTGGGCATCGTTTCTGGATGGGCTGGTGGGGATTCGCGAAGCGTCATCAATTTCTGAATGGGCTGGTGAGGCTACGCGAACCGTGACGAATTATAGTTAAATCTGCGCGCGCAGCGACGCCGCGGAATCCAGCACGACCAGGTGGCGCCCGTTCACGCCTAAACAGCCCAAACCAAGAAGCGTAGGGCCGACCCATAGGGACCCACGCTTCGCAAGGACCTACGGAGAGGGCATCCGCATGGGGGATAGGGGGGGCGAAGTATCACCTGCAAACGGCAGGATGGGGTGTGCAGCACCCAGAGATATTGCCAGCGATCTCACAGAGGGGGCACGGCGAAGGGGCAGTAAACGCAGGACGAGGCGACAAGACAGCAGAGTGGCTAAATTGAAGACACGAACCAACAACCAACAAATGAATTACACCAGGGAGAAACCAGAATCAGTGGATGCTTTCAACAAAAAGTACTCTGTATAGTGGAATCGATAATGAAGACGATTCAATGAGATCAATATTGAGATCGATCGTGAGATCGATCGTGAGATCTATAGTGAGATCGCTTGTGAGGTCGATCATGATATCGATTGTGAGATCGATGGTGAATTCGATAGAGAGGACTTACTAGGGAAAAAGAAGCCAGCGGACACGACAACACTGGACCGACGGGAACTTGGGGCGCGGCTCGCGAGTCGGCCCGCCCAGCCTGGAGCAGCTCCCTGATCTGGGGGTCGAGCTGGCGCGGGGGCACGACACAGGCCGGCGGGAGGGTCCCCCTCCCTCCCCATCTCAACCATCACATGAGAGGATGTGGGGGGGAGGTAGAGCGCAACGATTCGGAGAACCGGTCATCCAGGCCCCCAGGCCGCACAAGCCCCGCAGACCTTCCTCGCAAAGCGGGGGGCGCCGCACATGGAAGAGGTATGATGGGATCACCTCCCTCCCCCCTGGCGTGGACTAAGGGGCCCACGTCTGGAAAAAGGGCAGCCTCTTGGGGCCCCCGGTGGTTTCCGGCAACCTCTTGGGGCTTCCTGAAGCTTCCTTAGGCCACCTGAAGTTTCCTGAGGCCTCCTGGGGCATCCTCGATTCGTACTGAAATGTCCGCGCTGTCTTTGGGGCACACTGAAAAATCCCCATCGATAGCCGCATACGGGGCCGCATCGTCCGTGCCGAACCAGCTGGCCGATGTGATTTCGGTCCTCAATTGCACCATCCCTGTTTCCTATCCCACCCAGCATGTGGAACCTGACACGATCGGCCGGAGACGGCCCAACAGGCTCCCAAACATACCACAAGACGGCGCGCGTGTGCCCCAGGAGGACCCCACGAGATCCCCTTTTGTGGGGTCGGCGGCAGAGGCGGCAGCCTTTCAATTGGATCTGTGCTGAACTCCCCTCCCTGGCGCGCGGAACGCACCAAGAGCGGCGCCGGAGGCGCCGCCAGGGGCGCCCGGAGCCGATCCAAGAAATCCGCGCGGAGCTCCTAAAATTTGTCTATACAATTTGTTCTACTTCGACCCACTCCAAATCGAGGACGCCGACGACCAGCCGCTGTTGTTTGGCACCGGCCCCGTGGGGCCCCCGACCCCGACGCCGCCGAGGGGCAGCCCGTCGTCCCGGATCCTAGGCGCTGGATCATGGAAACCCCCTTGCAACTCGTTCGTCTATTATTCTCGGTGCCTCCCGTCGCGTGCATCGAAGAACGCGCTTGCCGGCGGGCCAAAACCAGATGCATCATATGTCGTTCAACCCCACTTGTTACTCGTTCGTCTTGAGCGCTCTGCGGCAGCCTTCTGGCGGTCTTCTAGCCATCGCTCGTGCGTCCATTTCACGTCCATCTGTCGACTTCGTACGTGTCTTTGCTCCGCAAGATGATCCAATATCCTCCTCGATGGTGCTCGCCGAGAAAATGCACACGTCCGAACGATGCCAAGTCTTTCGCGATCTGCGGCGGGTTCCGGCAGGTTTGGCGGCGAGCGCGGGGGGGAAATGAGAAGGGGCGGGCCTTCTCAGAAAGCTTGGAAGTCTCCCGGCCTTCTGAGAGGTCCCGCCGCCTTCTGAGAAGGCCTTCTCCTGCTCGCTTCCTCCCCCCCCCCTTGCTCGCCGCCGATGTTCAGCCAAGGTGAAACAGGATCTCCGCAGTCGGGAGCGGCCAAGAGCGGGGTGCCCAAGAAGGGGGGGTGCAAATCATGACCGGCGGCACGTGCGCGGCCCAGCGGGGGGGCCAGGGACGCCATGAAACAAGAAGAGGCGCCCTGAAATCTGGGGAAACATCATGGCCCGCGCCATGAAATCCACCCCCCCCTAGTCATCACCCCCCTCTTTTCCGCCCCCGACGCATGGTTGATCTTCGATCGCCTTCGGAAGTCTCTGTCGGGTCGGGCGAAAGGGGGGGATAACAAAGGAGGGGGTTGAGAATCAGCTCACGTAGCTGATTTTCGCGGCGCCTCCCGGCGCCGGAGGGAGCTATGCATCGAGGAATGGGCCCCTCGGTGGGGCCCAAACCAGCTGCATGCGGCAGATTTCGTAACCCCCCCTCTCCCAATCCCCCCCGTTCGCCCGGCCCGACTCTGGGTCCACCGAGGCGAGACGCAGAGACCTCGGCCCACACCACACCCACGACGAGGCCGGCGAGGGGCGGCCACTGCTCTGGGAGAGTCTGAAGGGGCCCCAGGACACACAAAGAAATACACACACAAACAAAAAGATTCGCCACATTTTCCCATCTTTTCGGGGTTTCTGTCTTCCCCCCCAATTCCCATATTTTCCTATATTTTCTGGGGAATCGAGGATTCATTGTGACTATGTGTTTCTTTTCCTCCTGAGAGTCGTACCCCGAAACCCGCTCAACATGGACGTAAATCCCACGCGAACGTTGCCTTCGTCGGCGTGTCGACAGGGGGCGGAACGGGGGGCGGTCCGGCTCCAGACCTCTGCTCAGTGCGTCCCATGGGGGAGACTCCACCTGCTTGAAACAGGCGCCAGAAACGGCCAGGATCTACACCCTGCGAAATGCTTAAGAAATCATGGGTTAAGAAATTCATAGTCTCAGAATTTAACTAAAACCCAGAAAATATATCAAAATCTTGGGAATTAAATTGAAACATTAAGAATAATCGAGACTCTGGCCGAAAATTTAAGTTTTCTTGAGCATCGCCTGAGGTGTACTCCAATGGGGGGGGGGGGCGAGGGCCCGCGCCGGTCGGCAAAACAAGGAATAAAGGAAACGATCACCATCCTGGCGGGCTGCCTCGCCCCAGATCGATCTCAAACGCTCCTGGGCCCGACAACGGCCTCCGGGCACAGAGCACGACGAGAGACCTCGACCGTCCATCTGAATCTCTGGGTGTCCACCGTTGCGGAGCGGCAGCGGCAGTGTGAGGGCAAGGCCGTCCCACGGCGACGGCGCGGCCGAGCCTGAGTCGACAGCGACACCGAGACAGACCCAGGCCGAATATCTACCGGAAGCAGCTGGGAATGACACAACGGCGCGGCAACGACGCAACCGCCGACCGAACTGGCCCGAGCAAGGACCCTCGAAGTGCGTGTTAGCGCCGACATGTCATGTGCCTGTCCACCAAAGCCCTCCAGTGCGACGCATGCAGCGCAATGAGGGCCGACACAGGCTGCGTGCAGCTGAACGGGTAAACACACTTGTTCCTCCCAACGCGCCAGTGAGTTCAACCAGCGGGTGTATCCTCAAAGCGAATTAGCCGTCTGGTGAAGCGGCGCAGCTGTCTTGAAAACACCCAAGCCCATATGGGCGGCAGAAAGGGCAGCAGCGGGGAACAAAAACGCACTTTGGACCGACAAGTGCACCAAGGATTACCGAAGCGACCGAACGCAACCAACTGCGACGCGGCCAGGACGACGGAAGCGCGGACGCCCCCCCACATACTCTGATGTGCTGTTTTTTCTCCAATGCTAGAGCAACACAAACCGGCATCAACAGAAAACTTTTGGAGGTCCGCGCGGAGGTCTTGGATCTGCGCTGAACCCCCTTCCCTGGCGCGCGGAGCGCGCCAGGGGCGGCGCCCGAGGCGCCGCCAGGGGGTCCCAGCGCTGATCCAAGAAATCTGCGTGGACCGCCACAAGTATATGTATTCGATGACCTACTTCCAATAGTACGGGGTCCCCAGAAGCCCCGACCCTCTCCCCAAGGCCGCCTCCGCATCTTGAGCCTTTTAGTTGACGGTTCCGGGGCACGGCGAGGGGCACCAGGGAGACAGAAAACTAAGAACAACCTGCGTGCGGAATTTTCAAAACGTTGGGAGGTCCAGGCCTGGAGCTCCGCGGTTCGAGTAGTTCTGATTTACCCCAAACTTGAATTCTTGCGTCGAATACACGAAAGCAAAATGATCCGCAGATCTACATCACATTCTGCACGGTTTGTTTCCGTAAGACTCGACGTACGAATCAACACCTAATCGAGCAGTTGACAATCCCACCGGCCGCCCACGGCCTTCACCAGGGCGTCCCTGGCGCTCTCCACGCGGTGCCCGCGGTGCTCGCCCGCGGGGTTCAAAGCGCACCTCCACGCCAGCGGAGCAGGGTGGCCGCGCCGGGCGCGCACACTTCAGGTTGAGCTGGCGACGACGATGACGAAAACGACGACGACGACGACAACGACGACGACGACAACGACGACGAAGGAAACGACAAGGACGACGACGACTCGGGCCGCTCCCATCGCTCCCACCCCCGCGGCTGACGCGATTCCGTGGCTGGCGCGATTCCGTGGGCCCGTCTTGGGCGTTTCTTGATCGCCTTCTTCCTCGGAGGCGCCCGCAACTTCTCGCCCGCATTGCAGCCCGGAGCCCGCCAAGCCTCGTGCGGGGCGCCCTGGGGGCCACCCGGGCCTCGGTGGAAATCCTGGGGCCGCCTCGGGCCAGGGCTCCAGGTCTCTTGCGAATTTCCTCCGATCGACCCACGAGTTTTCTCCCATTTCGACCAGAAGGAAATCGACCAGAAGGAAATCCCCCCACGAATTTCCTCCTAGCGACCAAAAGGAAATCGACCCCTGCGATTTCCTTCTGGTATCCGGGACTTGGCGCCATCAGGCAGAAAAGCTGCCCCCCGGTTAAGGGGTGGAGACCTGCAGGACCCGCGGGCCGAAAACAGAAACATCTTGGGATGCCTCGGTAGGGGGCCATCAGACAGGGGCCAGAATTCAAGTTCGCACCGCATCGACGATGAGCGGCGTTGTCGCGGTGAAGAAGGAGATTCGGGACGGCACCGCATCGCCGAAGCATTGGTGATGCGGCGTGATCCTCCGATTCGACCCCGTCCATCTCGGACCGCGTGTGGGTGGACAATGTCGTTACTTGTTTCTTCCTGTGGGCCTCCATGTGACCGCTTCGGGCTGGGATGGAAAACGTACCCACAGGAGGGGACCGAGACCTTCGAGCTCCGTGAAATGGAAAGAGTCAAGACATCGAACATCTGGGTAGACATGACAGCCAGCCTTGGCCACCCCATCCTGGGTCCTGCGCGGGTGCAGCGGTGAGGAGCCTGTCATCAGCATGTCGCGGAGGACGCCCCTGCGACACGCTGTGCCTTGCAAGCTGATTGCGGATAGCGTGCCCCTCTGCTTCATGGGACGGGATGCCGAGAAAAGCTCGCAATGCTGATGTTTGCGGACGGGGACGTGCTTAGAATGTCGCGCCAGGAACCGGCGGCGCGACACGCTATAGGCAAGCGTTCCTGACCGTATACGACCTCCTGGCCTAGGCTAAGAGTGGGCTAGTGCACAACAGCCCCAGTCCCAAGATGGACACGGCCAGGGCTCGTCTGCGGTGTGTGTGTGTGTGTGTGTTTGTGCGGGTGTTGTTTTGGTTGTTTGTTTGTGTGTGTGTGCCTGTGTGTGAGTGTGCGTGTGTGTGTGTGTGTGTGTGTGTGTGTGTGTGTGTGTGTGTGTGTCTGAGTGTGAGTGTGTGTGGGGGGGGGGGACTGATGTTGTCGGACAGCCTGCGGAGACGATGCCACGTATGGACAAGTCGGGACTCTCTGCATCGGGCGTGACAGGGGGGGCCCTGGAGCCCTTAGGAGTACTCTGAATAGGCTCACGGGAGGGTTCTGGAATTGCTTTTCCATCTCCTTCCAGAAACGAGACGCAACCACACAAACATTATGAGGTCTGCGCGGACCTGTGAAAGTTTGTTTCTAATTCTGGACCTTCCTGATCTTTGTGGGCCCTGGAAACGACCGGCTCGTTTTTGTTAGGGGTTTCGCTTTGCCGTTTTGTTGCTGATTCTGGCGCTGTTTTTGTTGCCGGTTCCGTCGCCGTTTGTTTGCCAGTTGCGGCTGGCTCCAATCCTGGAGCCGTTTCTGTTGCCGTTTCCGGTCCCCGTTGTTTTGCAGTGCCCACTTTCAAGAGACACTTTTCGGGCACAGTGAAGAAAACGGCCCTGTTGTTTCCGGGGCCCACTGAATGCCTGATCTCTGAACATATTAGGGGTTGCAAGTCTTCCCAGCTCGCGCCGCGCGCCGCGAGAGGCGCAAACTACCATCGCAATCTCGGCGCCGACCCCTCCCAGGAGGACCCCTCCGGCCCAGGTCGCGAGCCACCCCCCCTTCAGGAAACCGAGAAGACGAGGAGCAGAAGGAGCCAAGAGGAAGATCTGTTGAGCTCGCCGTCGTGGGTGGCGAGCGCGCCAGCTGGCAGCTGAAGAAGACAAAGAGGACCAGCGCGCGGCCGACCGACGTGAGGCCTGGAGAAGAACCCTCGGGGCGAACCCCGTCCCTCGCCCAAAGCGCCCGCCCCGTGACTCCAGAACCCGCCCGTTGCCTCTGCCAGGAGAACAAGGAAGAGGAAGGAATGGGGGAGAGAGAGACTGCGGAGGCAAAGCAGAGCAACGCACGGACCCAGCAGCGAGACAGAACAACAAGTTGGATCGAAATGGCTAGGAGAGGACTTCCCATTGAAACGGGCCCTGTGTGTGGGTGGGGGACACATGCGTGGAGACGGCCCTCATGGAGACGCACTCCAAGGGTGCCGCAGGGCACCATCCCGTATACAACCCTCACAGTGCTGAGGGAGAGGAACCAGGAGAGAGGAAAAAGAGGAGAGAGAGCGATCAACCTTTCATTCCCCCCCTCGAAGTCGAGTTCAGTGGTGCACGCGCGGGCGAAATGGCGAGCGCGCGCTCTGCAAAAAAAAAAATCGAAACGAGCTACGATCTGCTCCGCTGCCGCGTGCTTTTCCTCCTCCTCCTCCTCCACCTCCTCCTGCTTCCCAACTCCTCGTCCTCCTCCGTCTCCACCATCTCGATTGGCTCCCCCGCTCTTCTCCTCCACCTCCTCCTCTCCTGCCCCTCCTTTTCCTCCTCCTCCTCATCCTCCGCCTCCCGCCTCCCATGAGGCAGGGCCATTACCACCGTTCCATGTGTCGGGGCCTCCATCGATTCATTGGCGGAATTTCTGGAGGCCGTTCGGATCTTTCCACGTAATCTATCTGGCCGGCATCTGCTCGTTCAGCGTCTCGGTAGCGTTGCGTTCGTCCGGTCGCACTCGCTCATCGGCAATTCTGGAGTGGACCACGCAGGATTGAGACGCACCAGCACCAGCTGCACCTGTGGGGCAGCGCGGTGACACCACGTAGTTGGCAACATTCGAGCTGTCACCAAACAACAATTGCCAAGCGCGCGCTGGTCTTCAGATCCCAATGCCCAGGCGCGGGCCGTGGTGGAGGGACAAAACTGGTACGTGCACGGGGGAACCACGCGAAGTGCTACTCACTGTTCTTCGTGGACCGCCAGAAGCGCGTAAAAGAAAACCCACAAGTGCTCAGCCACGGTGTTTATTTCCTGTGGCATTGCCAACGAAAACAAATGATTTGGGATTGCTGCCATATCGGAATTCTGTTTTAATTATTGAAGTATCTCATTCTCAAACCATACACGCTGTGGGCCTGACGCACCTGCGCCCCCTTGAATTCCTGATGCCCTGGTTGATATCCTGCGGACCCCCAGGCAGGGGAAGAAAACAAGACTTGGACCTCGCCATCGTTTCCGTTCCCGCATGGTGCAGGCGGGGAGGGACTGGCAAAAATATGTTTGCTTGCCCCCCCCCCGCTGGATGCCCAACGAGGCCCCCGATGTTTGCCGGCCCCATTTTGTACAAGGTTGGCGACAATCAGCGGTGACCGTCAGGTGGGGCTGGCAAAAATATTCTTGCCGGCCCCACGCTCCTGGCACCAGCGGAACGCCACGAGTACCGACGCCGGCGAACCCAGTGCCGAACTTGACCCAACGGCGCGGCGAATGGCACTCCAACTCGACGATGCTTGGGAAACAGATTCGGCGCCATCTGCCCCAGGATGCGCACCCGTTCGCCCTCGTCCTCCTGATCCTCGTTCCTCCTGGTCCTGGTGGCGGAGGAGGAGGAGGAGGGCGGAGGAGGAGGAGGAGGAGGAGGAGGAGGAGGAGGAGGAGGAGGAGGAGGAGGAGGAGGAGGAGGAGGAGGAGGAGGGAGGAGGGAGGAGGGAGGAGGGAGGTCCTCCTGATCGCCCCCGTTGCTGGCCACCCCCCTCCCCCACGAGCCTGGCAGACCTGCGGCGCGCTGGACCAATCAACGATCCGCCGACGCCCGGCCACAACGAGAAACGCGGGGCAAAAAGAACCCTCCCCCCCTCCACCTGCCTTGATGGGCCTGTTTTCCACCACCACCACCATAAGTTGGAGGGGGGGAGGAGGTGGAGGATGAGGAGGAGGAGGAAGAAGAAGAGGAGGAGGAGGAGGAGGACCCCCTCCCCCTCCAACTGATAGTGGTGGTGGTGGTGGAAAACAGGCCCGTCATGCCTTCCCCCTTCCTCCCTCATTCTCGTGCTGCTTCACGCAGCTCCTCCGTCACTCCACTCCTCCAATCTTTTCCTCTCGAATGAACGCGACATGGAACAGGGCCCCGTCGCGCCAGCCTGGTGATGTCACCGCGGTCCTCGATACGGAAATAGTTTAGTGCCCATCCTGAGGCCCTTGTATATGATATCTCTAAAAACAGCAAGGCCGCGTCACTTTTAGCTGGGTTGGGTGCGACCCAAACACAGGACAAGGGTTCCAGACAGAAGCTGTTGCGTCTGCTCGATAGTCTCGCTGACAATGTGCTAATGTAACATTGTCGCAGAAACACGGAGCTCCACGTCACGCAAAATGCAAGCCGAATGTGATAATCGGACGCTGGTCACACGCAGAGGCCGTTCCCAGACTTGTTCCGTGCCATGGTATCGAGCACGTCCCTGGGAAACCGTGGAAATCTGGTGGGCAACATCGGAGGCGGCCAGCCCCACACCCAAGGGGTACCACCGTCAGACCCTCGGGCTGGTGACAGTCTCCAAAACATGCAAGGATCAGATCGCTCTTGCCCCCGGTGCATTCGCCATGTGCGCCTCCGCATGCGAATGCCTGACTGGGATGTGAATGCCATTTGCTTCTTCTGGAATCCGACCAGAAACGACAGCATACGTGAGGTGTAACGGTTACGAAGTGTGAGGCTATCGGAAGTATCGGTTGCCGCAGGGGGTGTGCAGCACGCTCGGGTCCTAATGGCTACGGAGCGTCAATTTCGCCCTTCGCCTCCTCCTCCTCCTCCTCCTCCTCCTCCTCCTCCTCCTCCTGCTCCTCCTCGCAATCTTTCACCCACCCCCCGCTTTGGCTCCCGCGCACATGAGGGCGGGGCGGGAGCAATGTCTTCAACGACGACGTCGTCTCCCGAGGGGGGAAGGGAGGAGGAAAGGAAGCCGAACGACGACGACAACGACGACGAAACAGGTGGCGGCGACGACGACGTCCCCAAAGCGGAGGCGGTGGCACTCCGCGCAGATGCAATCGCGCTCGCAGTCCAGGCAGAAGAATCTGGCGGCTACTCCGGGGTGCGCCTGCGGAGACCCGAGCGGCGCGCCGAGGCCGTGGGCGCAAGCGCAATGGCGCACGATCGCACGCCTGATCGAAGATCCAAGATCGATGATCCTGTGGCACTTTATAAGAGCCTTCCGTGCCATCTTGCTGGCGTTTGCGAATCGACGCCAACCGACGCTGATCGACGCGCATCGGCGCTAAATCGATGCATTCTCATCGGTTGCCAGACGCGAGCGCACGCCACTGCACCCTAAAGACGGAGTGCGGAGGGCATGCAAGGCAAGGCGCCCATGAACCAGTACGGGACAATAGATAGATGCTGCGCAGGGGCCGCCCGCCCCAACGGATGCTATGAGAAAACATGTGCTTAGACCATAAAGCACACGAATGAAAACAGTACTGCTCCAACCGAGCATGTTCTAAGAACATCTCGTGCAGACCCCCGAAAAGGTCCTTGGAGCATTCTTCGGTGGGCCTGTAGGCGACCCAGGGAGCCTCGTCACTGCGTGAGGCTTAGGGATTCCATGGGTCTCCGCGGACGCACCCCGAACGTGCGTGGAGATCCCGAGGCCTGGAGATCACGCCACCTCGCGCCTCGCGCCGCCCTGTCTCCGCCGGCCTCGGAGACAGGGGACAACTGAGCAGGCTCAGGCCACAAGGCACGACCTGCGTCGTGATCTTTCTACAACGTCGACCCCCAGAAGTCTGGACCCCTTCCCTGGGACCAATTTTCAGCCTGAGCCGTTTTTTGACGGTCCCGAGGCCCGGTAAGGGCCCCCAGAGGCGGCAAATAGCGAAGATAAGTTCGCGAGGAGATTTTTTCGTAGGTCTGGGCTCTCCCAATCGCCCCCCCCCCCCCCTGCGAGGGACCTACAGCCATGCTGCCACCACGAGGCACGCTGCATGTGCGTCAAGGAGGCACCGCTATGGCCACGGCGGCCCTCGTATGTCGAGAGGCAGGTCCCACATCGCTGTGTCGGCGATACATCAGCGATGCATCGGCGACGCCGGGGATGCATCTGCGCCGTCGGCGACGGGAAATTCTGGCTCCACATCGAGCAGCATCGTCGATGCATCGGCGACGCGGAGCCATCCTTCGATCCCGTCGGCTCGGAGCCTACCTGGGCGGCCCAGGGCCTTGGATGCATGTCTCGTGCTTCAGCCCAGAATCGAATCGACAACTCGGATCGGCAATCGAAATGAATCGGATCGGCGGGCATCGGCAGCCGAGTCGGGAAAAGCCGAATCGGCAGACATCGGCAGGCTAGCAAGCCTCAAAGGGGAAATCGGATCCCGAATCGGAACCCGGAATCGAATCGAATCGGAATCGGAATCCAGCGAAATCGAATCGAATCGAACCTGCGGCATCGAAGTGAGCTTCACCCCACGGTGCGAAGGCACGCGGACGGCGCGGTGGCAGCCCGAACGATCGCCCACGGGCCGAGCAACTGCGCGGAGAGGCCGCCGGACAGGCACGGGACGCTGCTACTCGAGCCAGCCTCCGCTGGCTGTGCAGGCCCACGGCGCGAGCCGTGGCCCCGGAAGGGCGACAGACGCACCAGAAGAGGTCCAGGAGCAGGGCTGGCGTCAGCATCTCTCTTCCGAGCCGGTGTTGGGCGCCCGAGTTATCCGGGGTAACTCGGGTCCGGGGTAACTCGGGTTCGGATTCCCGAAAAAACGAACCCGAGTTATCCCTGACCCGAGTTACCCCTGATGATTCGGGGCTCTGGACGCCCGAGTTATCCGGGGTAACTCGGGTCCGGGGTAACTCGGGTTCGGACTCCCGGAAAACGAACCCGAGTTATCCCTGACCCGAGTTACCCCTGACGATTCGGGGCTCTGAAGCATCTCTCTTCCGAGCCGGTGCGTGTGGACTGTGCCTCTGAGTGCTCCAGCCGAACGCAAGATCAGACAGCATCTAGGGCTCCCAACTTCGCGCTTCGCGCTCCGCGAAGCGCGAAGCGCGAATAACTTCGCGCTCTCGCGCCGCCCCCCCAAAGGGAGAATAGGAGGACGAGGAGGAGGGGGGAGGAGGAACGAGGACCGCGAAGCGCGAATAACTTCGCGCCCTCGAGGGAGCCCTGGACTGTGCCTCTGAGTGCTCCAGCCGAACGCAAGATCAGACAGCATCGAACCAGGACATCGGATCGGGTCGGAAGGTGCGCCGGATCGGGCTGTATCGGACCGCTCTACGGGGTCGAGATCGAATCGGATCGGCGGCGCCACGATGCACAACAACGCCGCGCAAGCATCGGGCAGGAGGAGGAGGAAGGAGGAGGAAGGAGGAGGAGGAGGAGGAGGAGGAAGGAGGAGGAGGAGGAAGGAGGAGGAGGAGGAGGAGGAGGGCATCGGATCGCCAGAACATCGAAATTAGGTAGCATCGATCGGATCGAGAGGCACCCTGAGGAGCCCCCGCCTGGCAGGTCACCGGCGGCCGAGCGGCCCCCGCGACGCCGCTGGGGGGCAAGCCGCCGGCCTGGGGGGGGGGGCGGCGCCCCCCGGCCTCCCTCTTCGCCCTGTTCGCTGCTGCCACCCCTCTCCTCCCTGCCTCTCCTTCGCCCCCCTCCTCATTCTCCCTCTCCTCTCCTCCTCCGCCTCCTCCTCCTCCTCCTCCTCCACCTCCTCCTCCTCCTCCTCCTGCTCCTCTTTCTCCTCCTCATTCTCCTGATCCGCCGCCGCCTCCTCCTCCCTTGCATCCTCCCGCGCCTCCTGCTCTGCCTCCTCCATCTTCCTAGCTCTCCTCACACATTCCCTCCCTCCCTCCGTCATCCTCCCTCCTCCCTCCTTCGTGCCTTGATCCCTCCATCCCTCCCTCTCCACTCCTGCTCGACCTGCATACTGCTGCTCCTGATCCTGGTTGTCCTGCTGATCTTCTTCCTCCTCCTCCTCATGATCCTCCTCCTCATCCACCTCCTAATCCTCCCCCTCATCATCAGCACCACCACCATCATCATCAGCATCATCATCATCATCAGCATCATCATCATCATCATCAACCATCAGCATCAGCCTCATCACCACCACCATAATCAACATCACCATAATCAACACAATCATCATCATCAGCATCATCATCCTCATCATATCCAAAGTCATCATCATGACCGTCCACATCTTCCTCATTATCATCACCAACATGTTGATATGAAGTGGAAGCTTCATCATCGTCATCAACAGCAGCAGCAGCAGCAACATCGCCACCATCATCTTCATCACCATCATGACAAGTAACAACATCATTATCAATATCATCAACATCGTCATCATCATCATCACCATCAGCATCAACACCACACTCATCCTCATCAAGAACATCAACACAAGCGTCATCATCAGCACCGTCGCCATCACCAACATCAGCATCATCATTTCCAGCATCATCAACATGACCATCATCAGCATCACCATCACTACCATCGTCACCATCATCACAACGTCATCACCATACTCAGCATCATAATCATCACCATCACCATTATCATCAGCAGCATCAGCATCAGCCGCAGCATCATCACCACACTCATCATCACCATCATCACCATCACCAGCATCATCATCAGCATCAACATCATCCTAATCAACACCATCGTCGTCCGCAGCCGCGTCGTTTTCATCATCAGCATCAACATCTCCATCAGCATCGTCACCATCGTCGTCGTCAAAAGCATCAGCAGAAACGTGAGGAGCATCACCATCATCAACATCTTCATGATCATCGTCATTCTCATCATCATGATCAACATCATCATCGTCATCACAGCATCACTTTCATCATCAGCGTCATCCTCATCACCTGCATCATCATCGTCTGCATCATCGTCATCATCATCACCAGCATCACCACCATTATCAGAACAATCATCTTTACCAACAGCATCATCATCGGCATCAGCATGATCATCATCCTCATGATCACAATCGTCACCACCAGTTTCACCATCAACGTCACCATCATCATTTCCATCGTCACCATCGTAATCGTCATCAGCATCACCATCATCACCATTATCATGACCATTACCATCCTCGCTTCTCGTCCCTGCCATGGAGGCGGCCCTCGGGTTAAGAAGCAGCGCCTCTACCTCCTCAGGGAGGGGCTCTTCGGCGCGCTCGGGCTACGCTTGGGCCGCGTGAGAGGGCCTGGCCAAGACTGCGCGTGCTGAGCGGGCCGCTGGCCTTTTCGACAGTTGTATGGCCAACACGGCCGAGAACGTCGACACCGCGTACCATCTGGTGCGGCACTTGACGGCTCAACAATCCGCAAAGATGATGGGCGAATTCCGCGCCGCGTGCGCTGTGCCCTCTCTGGTAGGTGCGGGCGCTGATCGCGGTTGGGTCCCCAGGACCATGGAGCGGTTCGACCTTGCCGAATTCCAGGGTACGCGGAAGCAGCTGGAGGGCACCGTCAACTCCAACTCTGAGCAGGACATGGTCGATTTCGAGGACGTGAAGAAGTGTATGGCTGCCGACGACATTGACTCGAAGGTGGACAAGTAGCAGTTCGAGCAGGGCAACGCTGCCTATGCGATGGGGGAGGAGCTCGACGGGGGAAAGGTCGAGCTCAACGCCGCCCTGGACGTGCTGGTGCCCAAGGCCACCAAGGTGTACAATGGCGCAATCTTCGGCGAGATCTCTCTGGACGCCGACGCGGTGTTCGACTCCATAAAGGCTGCCAAACAGGCCGAACTCACTTTCCAACCACGTGCTGGAGCCGAAGGCGATCCTGTGCGCGAAGGGCGGGGATGCTGAAGCGCTCGAGGCACAGCATGTTGCTGGGAAGGTCGAGCACTATGGCGCCCTTTGGCAAGCAGGGGCAGATCCAGAAGCAGAAATCCGCGACGCAACAGCAAAAGGACGAGGAGCCCCCGCAGGTCACGTTCAACGGAAACGACATCAACGAGCTGCGGGCCTTCCTGGAGACGGTGGATCTGTGACACTCCTTGGGCTGAGTGTGCAACGGGTTCTACCCTGTGCTGTCTTGGATGCGCGTTCACTGCCTCGCCGCTTATGCCGCATACTATATACCTAACAGCGAAGACTGATAGGTTTCTAGTAGGGTCAAAAGAGAGCATCTTGACTCCCCAGGGGGGTCTGGGCAGATGCCGGACGGGTGCCGAGGGAATCCGGGGAATCCTTTTTTAGCCAACAGTAACGCACTTCGTGGTCTTCGAGTTCCCAGAACTTCATTCCTGGGCATGATTTTGAATGCCCGGAGCCAACTGTAGGCCACTTCGTGTTCTTCGAGTTCCCAGAACTCCATTCCTGGGCATGATTTTGAATGCCCGGAGCCAACTGTAGGCCACTTCGTGGTCTTCGAGTTCCCAGAACTCCATTCCTGGGCATGATTTTGAATGCCCGGAGCCAACTGTAGGCCACTTCGTGGTCTTCGAGTTCCCAGAACTCCATTCCTGGGCATGATTTTGAATGCCCGGAGCCAACTGTAGGCCACTTCGTGGTCTTCGAGTTCCCAGAACTCCATTCCGGGCCAGGCTGATGAGGCTGGCTTTGAGGCTTCTGAGGCTGCAGGCCTGAGGCTGAGGCTGAGGCTGAGGCAGGCTGAGGCTGAGGCAGGCTGAGGCCGAGGCTGCTTGAGGCTGAGGCTGAGGAGGCTGAGGCTGAGGCTGAGGCTGAGGCTGCAGGCTGAGAGCTGAGGCTGAGGCTGAGGCAGGCTCAGGCTGAGGCTGGCAGGCTGAGGCTGAGGCCGAGGCTGAAGGCAGACTGAGGCTGAGGCTGAAGCTGAGGCTGAGGCTGAGGCTGAGGCAGGCTGAGGCTGAGGCTGAGGCAGGCTGATGCTGAGGCAGGCTGAGGCTGAGGCTGAGGCTGATGCAGGCTGAGGCTGAGGCAGGCTGAGGCTGAGGCCGAGGCTGAGGCAGACTGAGGCTGAGGCTGAAGCAGGCTGAGGCTGAGGCTGAGGCAGGCTGAGGCTGAGGCTGAGGCAGGCTGATGCTGAGGCAGGCTGAGGCTGAGGCTGAGGCTGATGCAGGCTGAGGCTGAGGCAGGCTGAGGCTGAGGCCGAGGCTGAAGGCAGACTGATGCTGAGGCTGAAGCAGGCTGAGGCTGAGGCTGAGGCAGGCTGAGGCTGAGGCAGGCTGAGGCTGAGGCTGAGGCAGGCTGAGGCTGAGGCTGTGACTGCGACTGCCGTTGCCACTGCGACTGTCATCGCGAATGCGACTACGACTGCGAGAACAGCAGAATTCTAAAACTGGATTCTCATCTGAATCTTAAGGGGAATGCTTCCAAATATGCTCCTATACATCGCTGTTCGGTTGCTTTGCCGGGATAAGTTCCCATGTTTCGGTTCCGAGGAAGGCTCGGAGCCCACCGCAGGCGCGTGCACGAGGGCTCGTGTTTTGGTATGGCTGCCTGTCTGCACGGGCCCGCGCGCCTCGCAGCTCTGGGGCTCTGGTCCCTGTGTCTCCTGGGTCTGGGGCGTCTGCGGCCTTCGTTCTCCATGGGGCTCCTGGGTTCGGTTCTTGGGCTTCGGGCTCTCTGGTCTCGGGATTCCTTGGGGCGGGTCGTCCCCGCGTGGGCGGGGCGTGCGCCCTCTGGAATCCCCTCCGGGGGTCTCGGATGGCGGGCTGGCCGCCGAGGCCCAGATGGCTGCGACCGTGTTGCGCCAGGAGCGCCAGCGGCAGCTCGACGCGCTTGCCGCGGTGCAGAGGGCGTTGGCGTTCGTGGAGCTCGCGGCGCTCGAGGCCAACCATGCGCCGCGCGGCGCCGCTGGGCCGCGCATTCGGCGTCTGGGCGGCGCCGCGTGCCGCGCGGCCTCGACAGGCCCCGCTGGACCGCGCCGCGAGGCCGGCGGCCGCGTGCGGCGCGGCCGCTGCTGCCCCGCCGACTGCCTCGCCCGCGCCGGTGGCCGCGGTTCGCTCGCTGTTCGCCGGCCACGCTTGGCGGCCGCACGCGGCGTCCCAGGGTCGTCGCGTGCCTCCGTTGCGGCGGGTGGGCCAAGCAATGGCGCGGGTTGGCGAGCCGGCCGTGCGCCGGCTGGGTGCAGACGCTGCCACCGCGTGCTTCAAACCTACTACTACTACCTGCAACACACACCGGTGGCGCCATGGCCGACTGGCGGGCGGCGCTTCGGGCGCGGCTCGCCGCGCGCCCCGGGGCGCCCGAGGCGCCAGGCTAATTAGTTGAATTGGCGGCGCCGCCGCTGGCGCTGGTGCGGGCCGCGCGCCCACCGAAACACCCTCTCTTCCTCCCCCCCCTCCTCCGCCACTGGGCTTTCTCCGCGCTGGTAAAAAAATGCCAGGGCGCCCTGCCTGACGCGCGACGGTGCGCACCCTGCAGCGGCAGGGATGCGCCGAGGCGCCCAGCCTGGCCCGCAGCCTTCTTGGCGCCCCCAAGGTGCGCGACGCGCTCCGGACTGCGGCTGCAAGATTGCGCAAGGGCGTCCTGGCTGGCCCGCATCCTTAGGTGGCGCCCCCAGGTGCGCCACGCTGTGCGCAGTGCGGCGGCAAGGATGTGCAAGGACGCCCTGCCTGGTCCGCATCCTGAGGTGGCGCCCCCAGGTGTGCGACGCTGTGCGCAGCGCAGCAGCGCGGATTCGCAAGGGTGCTCTGCCTGGCCCGCATGATGCGAAGGCGCTCCGTAATAATTCAGACAAATTTCGTGCTGCTGGCGATGCGATGAGAAGGTGGTCCCAGAACCCAGCCGGCATTGCCTGTCAATGCGATGCCCAAGCCTCACCCATGAACTGCACCAGGCCTACCTGGAGACCACCGAACTCCGTCCACTGGAGTGCCCAAGGCTAACCCATAGCTTACCCATGGCCTACCCATATCGGACCAAAACCTGCCAACAGCTTACCACGGACTGCTCGCGGCACAAAGGCGGCCCACTGCTTACTCAAGACAAGTGGAAGGCCTACCCAAGGGGGGTGCCCCTGAACCAAACAAGGGCTGTCCCTGTACGTTGGATGCCTGAAGGGTCCTAAGGACTTAGGATTTCACGACTCCCGAAGTGGCAATGCTATACTATTTCGTCACTCCTGCGTCGCAGCTGCTTGGGACAGCGGCCTTGCCGTCATCGCCAAGGGTCTATTTCATCTTCAAATCCAACATGGCGACTTCCGCGTTCTAAGCAATACGAAATGCACAACGAAACCACACACGCGGATGACCATCGTCACCCGCGCGCGTCCGCGGGCCCGGGCTTTCTGGACGGTCCATGGTAAACGACACACAACAAAACAGCCGATGTTAGCTTTAAGAAACAATCGACCGCGCACACACACAAACACACACAGACACGGTTGACCATGGTCGACCGCGAGCGACCGCGCGCGCGGGGCTGCCTGCATTGCCCATACAAGGGAATAACACAAAAGAACGTACTTGAAAACCAATTCGGGCATCGCTAAAACTTGAATGACATGTCCCGGACAACATGACGACTTTCGCAAGCCATAGCAATACGGAATGAATGCCCTACGCGTTCACGCGGGCGGGTGACCATAGCCACCCGCGCCAAGTCCCTCGCGCGGGGTTCTGTACTTCTCCTCCTCCCTCCCTGCTCCCTCCCTCACCCATCTCTCCACCCTTCTCTTTCCCTCTCTTTTCCTCATCGTCCCCTTCCCCCTCCTCTTCGTCATCCCTCCTCCTCCTCCTCCTCCTCCTCCTCCGCCCCCTTTCGCATTCCATCATTCCTTTTCTGCCCCTTCGCGCGAAAGCGGTGCAGTAGAGTTTTTTACCAAAGCCAGGTCCCTTTGCGCGGGTGTCCCTGCATGGTCCATACAAGAGAACACAAGAGAACCCGAGTTAACTTGAGAATCCACTTGGTCACCGCTGAGATTTCCCTTTTAGTTTCAAACCAGCATGGTGACCCTTCTTTTACCAACAATGCATAATTGTCTTCGCACGCGCAGGCGGGTGATAATGGTCACCGCGCGAATCCGCGCGCGCGAGGCGTCCTGTGTCGCACATGGCAGAAATTAGAAAGGAAAAAGCATGCCAATTTGAAAAACCGACTGGGTACCCGCTGAAGCCCTTGAACTTCCAAGCCAACATGGCGACTTTTGAATCCTCAACACCGCATCCAACCAAATGACCACGGCCCCCAGCGCGCGCTTGCGCACATGGTGCCCTGTGATTGCCCATGGTATTGACAGACAAACGGACACATGTGAACTTGGAAATCCAAATCCAGCTTGTCACCGATCAGGGTTCACTTCCACTTCCAAGCCAACATGGCGACTATATTTCCCACCAAAAGACACACACACACACACTCTCTCTCTCTCTCTCTCTCTCTCTCTCTTTCTTTCAAACACACACACTCAGTGCCCTACGCGTGTACATGGGCGGGTGGCCATGGTCCCCCGCGCACGTCCACGCAGGTGGGATTCTCTGCGTGATACATGATAGAGAACATTCAAAATAACCCACGTCAACTTGGAAATCCCATCGGTCATCGCTACGGGCTCCCTTTAGTTCCCAAAGCAAACCAGATATTTTCATATCTAAACAATTCAGATTGCCCTACGCGCGGACGCGGGCGTGTGATCATGGTGACCCGCGAGCGTTTGCGCGCGAGGTGCGCACTGTATTGCCCACAGCAGAGAACTTAAATAATATCCCATCTTAATTTGGACATCCAACCAATCACCGCGATGGGTTTATTTGAGTTTCCAGGCCAACATGGCGACTTTCATTTTCTAAGCACAGGCGGGTGACAGTGGTCACACGACCACTTTCGCGCGCGTGGGGCTATCTGTATCGGCCCAAATGGAAAGCAGACAGACAAACTCATGCGAACTTTGGAAGCTGGTCGGTCACCGCTAAAGGTTCAATCGGGTTCCCAAGCCCACATGGCGAATTTCGATTCTAAAAACCAGAAGGTCTACGCGCGCGCACAAGCAGATGACCGTGGCCACCCGCGAGCGCTCGCGGGCGTGGAGCTTTTTAATATTGCCCATGACAACGGGCCCACAAAGGAACCTATGTTAACTTGGAGAACCAATCGGTCACCGCTATCTGCGCGCTTTACTTTTAAGGCCCTTGTTACGCGTCGTCGACGACAGACGCGGACCGAGTATGTGTTCCCCGCCGCCAGGCGTCGCTCGTGCCCTACGAGGCGCATGCCAGTGGCCAAACCTATACACAGGTCGCTGCTGTCCGGTCCTGCTCCAACGCGACGGCATGTGCATCGAGGATCATCGCCCTCCCCCTCCTCCTCCTCCTCCTCCTTCTCCTCCTCCTCCTCCTCTTCCTCCTCCTCCTCCTCCAGCCGTTGTGAGCAACGCCCGAACTCGTGCATTGTGCATTCACGAAAAAGCCCTGTCCGCAGGCATCTCACGGGCACCCCTCCTGGGCTGCCTGGCTGCCCGCAGGGAAATCTTGAGTACCTAGCATATTCAATATCACTCCTACGCCGTGACGGCTCAGCAACGCAAAAGTGCCTTGCCCGTCGTGCCGGCCCCCCGCGAATACCCCGACAACAACAACTGGGCGGAGGATGGCCAAGGGTGCCCTGCCCATCCGGCATTCAGGGCCGCGCCCGCCCGTGACTGGGAAGGCAACAAAGACGATTCCAAAGATGAGCACAAATACCCTGCACATCGCGCATCCTTGGGGCCGCGGTCTCCGTGAATGTGAAGACGGCAAGACTGGGCCTGGGGATGCCCAAGGGTGCCCTGCCCATCGCGCCTCTGTTAGGCTTTGCCCCCCAGGGCGTCGCGCCGCGCAACCGAAGGATGCAGCCCGCCCAAGGGTAATTACCTCAAGGGGCTGGCAAGCGAAAGTTGCCAGGGATGGGCCGAAGGGGCAAGGATGCAAGGGTAACCTTCACATGTTGCTCATCCTGACTATGCGTGTTGACTGTATCCAGGGCCTCCGGTCGCCAATGTTTTCGACGATGCTCCCCGTCGAATACGTGTGATGCCCGCCCCTGGGCTCCTCACCCCATCGCCTTCGCCGAAATGACCCTCCAGAGCGAACGAAAGTGGGTGTCAGCGGATCGGCTCACGTCGCTGATTTCCCTGGCGCCTCCCAGCGCTGGCGGCGCCCATGGATCCAGGAACGCGCCCACTGGATGGGCCGAGACTAGCTGAACGCGTCAGACGTCCTACCCCCCCATCCTTACTCCAATAACCACGGGGGGCGATAAGGCGGGGACTGGCTCAGGGGGCCAACGAATGACCCGGAATCGACGACACATCGCCGATGTATCATCGAGACGCCTCCGGAAGCAAAGCCAACCATTCCTGCCATGGGCGGGGTGCAGGGCCCAGGCGTCCATTGGGGATGAATGGACCCTGTGGCGGTGCCCCCCCTGTCATTGCCTCCTAAGCCCCCGTTCATTCGACCCGACCCCCGAGCACTGGCGGGGAGAGAAACGGGGCGCGCGCCAGCTGCAGGGCGCGGTCGCCGCTGCTCCCGGGGAGGGCGCCTGCGACCCCGCGGGCTGCCCTCCTCCTCCTCCTGCCCCTCCTTTTCCCTCCTCCTCCTCCTCCTCCTCCTCCTCCTCTTCCTCTCTTCCTCCTCCTTCCTCCTCCTCCTCCTCCTCCCTCCTCTTCCCCCTCCCTCCTCCTCCACATCCTCCTCCTCCTCCTCCTCCTCCTCCTCCTCCTCCATCTCCTTCGGCCATCTCCTCCACCTACTTCACGGGCGCCGAGTACATCAGCATATCTACATTATCTCCGACGTATTGAAAATAGATACAAGTGTTGTTTCGATTTCTGGTCACTGGCCAAAAAAAACCGCAACTGAACTGAAAAAGAAGGGGCGATTCAGACCCGCGCCCGTCCAAAGACGGGACTGAACTGGAGCGGGCAGTTACTAAGTTCAACCATTTTCATGCTGTGGTGCTGCGCGGGCACGGTGGCGGGATTGCCCGAATCGGCTCGATATTTGCTGGCCCAACGGTACAGAGGCGTGTTCACATTCCTGTCACAAAATCCGCCGGCCCCCTTGTGGGGCCACCAGGCTGTAGGCCCGTGATTCGCAGTTTCCTGTACCAGTTGTAGTTTGTAGTTTCCAATGTTACAGTTCTGCTTCTTGCTGGTTACTGTAACTAGTTGATTGACCGCGCGAGGGGAGGGAGGCCCAAACCAGATTTTTAGCACCACCTGGGCGCGTTGTCTGAATTGCTGGGGGGGCTCGAAATCGACACCCCTCACGCAGATCCGCGGGGTCAGGGTCCAAAAACACATGGGATTTGCCACATTTCTGAAATTCGGTGCCACCCCTCACGCAGATCCGCGGGGTCAGGGTCCAAAAACACATGGGATTTGCCACATTTCTGAAATTCGGTGCCACCCCTCACGCAGATCCGCGGGGTCAGGGTCCAAAAACACATGGGATTTGCCATATTTCTGAAATTCGGTGCCACCCCTCACGCAGATCCGCGGGGTCAGGGTCCCAAAACACAGGGGATTTGCAACATTTCTGAAATTCGGTGCCACCCCTCACGCACATCCATCGCAAGGCGTGGTAACCCAAACTGCTGCGAGTACTCCCTCGGCCCTTTAATCCCAAGGTGTGGTAACCAAGCTCGTAAACCATACACGTCTTACCACTCGCCCTGTGTGGTAACCCCTCTTGTGATCAGTTGGTTTTGCCGATTGCGAATCGGCCTCGCATGAAGTTCCGATACTGCTGCACGACAACGCCAAAACCTCATGACTTAGCTCTTCCATGGCCCATTCTCCGAGAGAGGGGGCCGGCGGCAGGGGGCGAAGCCCTTACGGATAACAATGGTACTGGCTCGCGCGAGACGGTCCCGGGGAAAGTCTCCGGGCGAAAAATACCCGGGGATAGACCCGGCAAGAATGCCGGAACTCCTGGGGGCGGTTCCAGGGCGCCCACTTACTTGATAAGGCCCTTCAAGAGATTCAGCTATTTCGCTAAACAATTGCAAAGCACGACATGCTGACTGTAACTCAGCTGGAGGACGTTATAACAAGTAGTTAACTGTTATGCTGAGACTGTATACTACGGGCTCCTAGCTGCGCTCTTCGCGCTGCGCGAAGCGCGAATAACTTCGCGCTTTTGCGCCCCCCCCCGGGACAAGACGAGGGGCTCGCGAAGCGCGAAGCGCGAATAACTTCGAGCCTTTCGCGCTTCCCCCCGGGGGACAAGACAAGGGCGTGGGGCGATGGGAGAGTCCGAGGCCCGCGCGGCATGCAGAGGATGAGGACTGAGGTGAACGTGGGGACAGAGGACGATGAGGGAGGAAGGCCGGCCCTCGAAGTTGGGAATACTTTTCATAAGGATGCCAGTGATTTCTGATAAGGTCTTCGTAAAATCAAGAGAAGACTTTCGAGCGGAGACCAACAGATTCGGAGTAGGTTTCGCGCGGAGCCCCAGGAGTCTGGATACGGTTTCGTAGGGCGCCCAGTTGGTTAGGATAAGGTCTTGGTAGAGGGCCCCCAGCATTCCGATGAGATCCTCGCGCAGGGCCCAAGAAACTCGGATTAGGCTTCCGAGCGGCGCCCATGGAGTCGGATATGGTTTTCGCATAGGGGCCAGTGAGTTAGGATAAGGTTTTCGCAGAGGGGCCCAAGAATTATGATGAATGAGGTTCGCAAGGGGGAATAAGCTAGGGTAAGGTTTTTGTCGGGGGGGCGAGAGTTAGGATAAGGTTTTCGGGCGGATCCCAAGGAATTCCGATTCGGATTTCGCGCGGAGCTCATGGAGTTCGGATATGGTTTTCGTAGGAAGTCAGTGGGTCAGGATAAGGTATTCGTAGGGAGGCCTGGCTGTTAGGATAAGGTTCTCGGGCGGAGCCCAGGGAATTGGGATTAGGTTTTCACGCGGAGCCCATGGAGTTCGGATATGGTTTTCGTAGGGCGGCCAGCGAGTTAGGAATCAGGTTTTCGTAGGGGGGCCGGGCGTTAGGATAAGGCATTCGGGGAAATGCCCAAGGAATTCGGAATAGGTTTTCGCCCGGAGCCCATGGAGTTCGGATACGCGTTATCGTATTGGGACCAATGAGTTAGGATAAGGATTTCGTAGGGGGGGACCGGGAATTTGGATAAGGCTTTCGCGCGGAGCCCAAGGAATTCGGATTAGGTTTTCGCGCGGAGCCCATGGAGTTCGGTATAGTTTTCGTAGGGGGGCCAGTGGGTCAGGGTAAGGTTTTCGTGGGGGGGCGCCCAAGGAATGCGGAATAGGTTTTCGCGCGGAGCCCATGGAGTTCGGATATGGTTTTCGTAGGGCGGTCAACGGGTCAGGATAAGGTTTTCGTAGGGGGGCCGGGCGTTAGGATAAGGTTTTCGGGCGGAGCCCAAGGAATTCGGATTAGGTTTTCGCGCGGAGCCCATGGAATTCGTAGGCTTTCTGGCGGAGCCCTGGGCATTCCAATTAGGTATTCGCACGGAGCCCATGGATTTCAGATATGGTTTTCGTCGGGGGGAGATCAGTTAAGATAAGGTTTTCGTGGGGGGGGCCAGGAGTTAGGATAAGGCTTTCGGGCTGAGCCAAAGGAATTCGGATTAGGCTTTCGCACGGAGCCCATGGAGTTCGGATGTGGTTTTCGTCGGACGCCAGTGGGTCAGGATAAGGTATTCGTAGGGAGGCCTGGGAGTTAGGATAAGGTTTTCGGGCGGAGCCCAGGGAATTGGGATTAGGTTTTCGCGCGGAGCCCATCGAGTTCGGATATGGTTTTCGTAGGGCGGCCAGCGAGTTAGGATCAGGTTCTCGTAGGGGGGCCAGGCGTTAGGATAGGTCATTCAGGGAAATGCCCAAGGAATTCGGAATAGGTTTTCGCGCGGAGCCCATGGAGTTCGGATACGCGTTATCGTATTGGGACCAATGAGTTAGGATAAGGTTTCGTGGGGGGGGGCCGGGAATTAGGATAAGGCTTTCGCGCGGAGCCCAAGGAATTCGGATTAGGTTTTCGCGCGGAGTAGTTCGGATGTGTTTTTTCTTCGTAGGGGGGCATTGAGTTAGGACAACGGCTTTCGTAAGGGGACCCTGGAGTTGGGATCATTTCGCGCGGAACCCACGGAATTCGGATTTGGTTTTTCGCGATACAAGCTGATGCAAGGCAATGCAAAGCAACGCAAAGCAATGCAGCGCAATGCAAGACACGTCGCAACGTAGTTAGGGTTCCGCGCGAAAACCTACTCCGAATTCCGTGGGTTCCTCTCGAAAACCTTATCCTATCCCGGGGTCCCCCTCAGGAAACCTTATCCTAACTCACTGGCCCCCTACGAAAACCTTTTCCAAACTCTACGGGCTCCGCGCGAAGCGCGAACAACTTCGCGCCTCGCGCTGACGTCGCCCAGACCGCGAAGCCCGCGATGCAATCCCTCAATGGCCTAGCCCCAAGGATGCGAGGCGAGTCTACCTTCGCTCTGGAAACCGTCGTAGGCTCAGACCGCGAAGCGCGAATAACTTCGCGCCTCGCTCTGACGTCGTCCAGACCGTGAAGCGCGAATAACTTCGCTCCCTCGAGGGAACCCTTGTATATCGCTATATGATCTAATGAACTTGAGATACCGCCGCTTGATGTACACGCTCGTGAATGAGCCACACAAAATTACATATGTTGCACACTGTAATTCCATCAATGTAAACTTGTACATGTGTTTGAGCTGGTTTAGTTGAGTTGGCCTAGCAACGCCTGAGTGTTTTCAACTGAAAAAAAAACAGATGATCCCTTCCCCGCCGGTGGGGTGGGTGGGGCCCAGCGGGGGTCCTTGGGGGAAGGTCCTGGGGGGACCCGGGGCAACTCCCAGGTCAGAACGACAGCACCCCCAGCGGACCCCGCCCCTAGAAAACACCCCCAACAATTGATCCCCTCCCCGCCGGGGGGGAGGTCCCGGGAGGGGACCTGGGGCAACTCCCGGGTCAGGAGTCGGGGGGGGGTCCTGGGAAGGGGTCCCGGGAGGATCTCGGGGGGGGCCTGGGGCAACTCCCCGGTCAGAATACCGCCCGCCAGCCTGGTCTTTGGCCGCGCGCGACCAATATGGACCACGAGCCACAGCTGCGGCGCGCGAAGGGCGTCTGAGCTGGGGCAGCAAATCGCGAAAAGCGTCCTCTTCCGCCCTACTATTCTTCTTTCCCCTCCCCCCGCTGCCCCTCTCCCCCCCATCCTCCTCGTCCTCGACCTCGTCGTCCTGGTTGTCCCCTCCCAACGTCGGCGGCACTGGCCGTAAGGCTTTCGCAAGGTAGCGTTGGTTACCGTTGCGCGCATGTGGATATCATCTTCCATATAGATGTATGGTGAAAGCTGGTCACGCGTTTGCATAAGCAGTGCGATGTGTACCATGTACATTGGCAGTGTTGGTTTACGCTGTACGTGGAGTGTTGTGCTCACCTGGTAAAATTGCCAGGTGTCGTTTTGCGGTTGTTTGACAAGCCTTTTCATCGGTGCTACATGTACAGTGCATAAAAATATATTGAATATTAAGCGTTTTGCCAGTGTACCGTTGATGCCAATAA